CTCATTTAACAACTAACACAAACTGACATAATCAAATAAGCCCAACAACAAATTATTGTAGACTACATTACTGAAAACTGGTAAACTACAAGGATAGAATAAAGTTTCAACAGATTTATAGAAAGTAGTTAGCAATTTTTTCCCCAACATGTGAGCATACATACAATTAAGCCAACAATACAATAGTCTTTGTTTTTTTCCCAAAGAAGAAAATCATAAACATCTTGTCATGGATAAGTGCTTAGAAGAACAGGTAGTGAACCCGAACACAGCCACGTAACGTTACTTACTCAAGAAGAGCAAACAAAATACATAAACCACAGATTTTGAAACAAAAAGATTCAATTTTCCTTTAATTTTCCATAAAGGAGGAGTGTCGAAACTCACCGCAGCTTAGTTTTCTTAGCAGAACCACTGAAAAGCTCCTCGTACGGCAAGCCCACATCGTCATTCCTAAATCCGCCAAAAATGTTGTTGTAATCGAGCTTCGAGCTACGACAATCGGCCGACCCTACCTGCTCGTCCAGGCCCGAAAGGTCAAGCACGGGGATGGAAGAAGACCCGGAGAAAATCTCTGCGTAGTCACGAGCTCCCAAGGACTCCCTCTCGCCCACACTCGACAGGAAAACGTCGTCGTACGGGTTCTTGAACGAGAAGCTGTTTTTGCTGGAGTGCTTTCTTCGGTGCTGAGCTCTCGACAGTGACTCCATGGAAATGGAAAGCGAGAGAGGATTTTGGGCACGTTGTCTTTTGGGGATTAGGGTTTTGCTGTTCAATTTATTTTCATTTCCTTTTTTTTTCTTCGTTCTTGTTCTGTGAGGGACTCCCTGTGTACTCTGCCGAGCAAAAAGACGAGTCAGACAACACGAAGACGAAGGAAGAGAGAGAAAAATCAGTGTTGTGAGAGAGAAATTTTTTTTTAAGAAATTTTATGAGTGGGTCCGATGTGCGGATAGTATTGGGTGTAGAGGGTCTAGGTGTGCCAACCGCGTGGTAATTGGTATGTGGCGACCTTTTTCCTTTTCTTTTTAATTTTTTCTTAATTATTTTCATTTTATATTCGTCTATTATTCAAGAACCGGATAGTGGAAAGAGCCAGTCAACCCTACCGATTCCTGAATTTTTTATTGTTCAACCGTTTTTGAGACCGGTATAAAATAAACATAAATAAATAAATTAAAAATATATATAATCATACAAGTAATGTTAGGATATTAGGATACTAGTTGTTTACCGACTGTGCACACAGTCGACCTATTTTCAGTCGTTGAATTTAATTATTTATGGAGAAAATTTGTGTAACATTTAAATTATCACTTAACATGCCACTTGTTTTTTTGTTCCTTCAAAAAAAATTGAGCTCCAAAAAAATTGAGCTCCAATTGTGTCAAACATCATCTATAAGAACCTTTCGTCATATATGTGTGAAATAAAATGTTCAATGTCTGAAAATTAATGTGGGAAATAAAAAATTACAAGAATAAAAATTCGAGACTAATTTTTTGGCTTCATATGAAAATAATTATCTGACATTTGGCCGCATTGTCCAAGTAAATTGAAATTACTTATTAACCAATCACAAACTCGTCACTACTACAATATGATAGAATATTTAACCCAGAAAAGTAACTAAACTTTGTGTAAGTGGATGATCATGAAAACTGATTTACCTATGTGTTCACATACCTCTAGAATATCATGTGGAATAGCTTGATCTACATTAAGAAATAAATAAATGGATGAGTGATGAATGCAAACAAAAGGGACAATACAATTTTATTAGTTGTATTTTTAATTTTTTATTATTTTATTATAATAATATAAATTTATTGACTTCTTTCTTTTGATAAAATTATATAATTTTCAAGCACCCGTATTGTTCACGGGTGTTATATTAACTGCCGAATTAATTAATTAATATATTTAATTTAGACAAAATGAATATATATTAAATAAAATAAATAATACTTCATAAAAATATTTTTTAGAATTTAAAATAATATTTACAAAATACATTTTTTAGTTATTTATAGTTTTTTTATTTCACATTTTATTGATTTACTAAATACAATAACTCTTCTATTACGCTGATATAATATTAGGACAAAATATGATTTTTTACATAGTGATGCATATTTTAATAGAAAAATGACATACTTTTAAAAATAACATAAACATAAGTATGATATTTAAGGATCAATATGTACTTTCGTTCTCTAAATACGACGAATTGGCCTCTAATAGTTAGGTCAACTCATATAAGAATTTGTGTTAAACGAATGTTTATGAATAAAAATAGTAACTTGGCTATATTTAAATATATCCCTTTTTTGAAGGCTTTGTTCTATCAAATTTGCATTTGTTCGACCAAAAGACACAAATAACAGATTCAAAAAGCAGAAAAGTAATGCATGTTGAGGAACCATGTTAAAACGCTGCAAACTTATCGTATTTAAAATTCAAACAATAGAATCAAAGTGTAAAAAGTGGCGCCCATGGCCATGGTTAAAAGCCTCTTCTTTACAAAAAGAAAAATAACATTATTTGGGGCCATTATTGGCATATCAATGCTGGAAAGAAAAAAGGAGTTTAATGGATGGTCCTATTGACCATGCATGTCACCATCTTTTGTTTTATGTACATAATAAATGCTTTTCAATTCAATCAGTGTTTATATACATACTCCCCATGTAATAAGATAATGTATAATGATTCCAATTGTCTCTTTTAAATTACTTCATCACATTTTCACAATTTTGTGAAACACATTTAATCGATTAGACGGATCGACCCATTATACAATGCGAACAAAAATATTTATTTACACATATGATTGAGCTATTGGGTCGTTTGTTTAACCGGTTGAACAACTATTGAGAAAATCGATTGGCATGTACATACATACAAAATTATATATTGTAATATTGTATACTTTCACACAGTATGTACATATCATAGCTAAAATCAAATATGATTGACAGAAACTGGGAAAAAATGAGTGCTGCCCCACTACCATGAAAGACACCATGAAAGAAGGGAAAAACCCATATGAAGGACACCATGAAAGAAGGGAAAAACCCATATGAAGCCCAAATGGAGTTACATCCCAAAACCAATTGGTGGAATGAGGAGTAGCCCATTAGTCTTATAAGATGGGTCTATTTTCCATATATGAACGATGTGGGACAACTCACAAGTGATATTCTAACAATGATAGCATAGATTTACAATTCTGATGCAAAATAATAGATTAATTAACATCATAAAAGTAAAATCCGCCACACAATTAAGAAACAAGGGTTCAAAATACCGGAAACAACAGTTTTGTCGAAAGTTTTCGTAAGAAATAAGAGGAAGTAAATAATTGGATTTGCAATTTGTCAATTTAAAAGGATAAATTAATATATACTTTTTTATTTATCATGCTCGATTAGCCACAATTTTTCATCACAAAATATTAAAAGAGAAATGACTCGATTAGTCGATAATTTGTGGTTGGGTTTTTTCAAACATTGATTTTTATACGTTTAATGGTCATATGACATGATTAAAGGAATCCGCTCTAAGGGAATAAATGAATGAACCAATTATTATGACGTGAAGAAATTAAGAAGATCTAAAGCAACAAAGTAGATAGTCAATGGCCCATACCAATTGAATTTTATATTCGCCTTTGATTCCTTTATGGTACGAGAAAGCTGTATATCATTGCACTTGGCCAGTTGATCAAAAATAGCCAAAGCGCCAAATTTAGTTTTTTGTTTATGTGAACGTATTTAGCGTATTTTAAGGTGCCCCACACGGCCACACCCACTTGTTAAAACTAGCAATCGCAAATGAATTATTGCACAACGTCTTGTAAAGCATCCATTTTTGTATTTACGTTAATTTTTTATTTTTTTTTTTAATAATTGTATCAAACATATATATATGAGATAATAAAACTTTGCTCCTTTTTTCCTCTAATGCCGTACAATATTTGCGCAACTCCTTTATGATTTAATTGGCGAGTCAAGGGAGTGAGCAAGGATTTCCAATTCTGTTCAAAATGAAGAAAGTGAAGCTGCAGATGCTTTGTGTGTAGAAATAGATGAAAATTTTTGCCCCTCAATTGACAAGGAAACAGTCCATAAGACCAAAATTTATTGAATGTTGCAAACAAGAAGTTTTCTACATTGGGACTTTTGGTTGTTGCCAGCGTTGTGTTGGGGGAGGGGACGGTTGTCGAGTCCTGGAGCTGTTTTCCGTGGTGGTCCGTTTGGAAGGGGTGTTAGACTTTGTAGATTCACGTTGAGTTAACCATAGCCTACTGAGTTACGGAGTTTGGAGTTGCGAGATCCGTATCGAGGGCCTTGATGGTGCCTTTCTTGGGATGATCGTCGGTTGTTTTCTTGCTGGGAAGGTTGAATGTTTCTGGACGGCGGTGAAGAGGGCTTTATTGTATTGTTTAAGCGTGTGTTGTAGTTTTTGTTGTTTTTTTTTTCTTGTTTGTTCGCTTGTGACGGTTAGTTACCTTTNAAGTTAATAAATTAAATCATTTGGACAAAAATTTCAACAAACAAACTCAAACTCAAATATGAGAAAACTCATTAGTAGAAGTTTGACTATTTATAGCAATCTTTATTGTTTTAAAGTCCAACCCTCATATTAATTTTTAGCAAAATAATTACGAGAGCTCAGCACTTTAGAGATATGTTATGGTTCCGTTATGGAACAATCCTGTCGGATGTTTTGACCGTTAGATCATCTATTTTATACTAACTACATGTGTATCTAACGGTTAAAATTGCCGACGGGATGGGTCCCTAACAGGACCATTATCATTTCTCCAGTACTTTATAGCAAAATAATTATAGCAACGGGAGCTCAGAACTTCCTCAAACTGTCTATGTTATAATACCTCTTGGACTACTGTAGCTAGTAGCTACAGCAAACAATATAAAGCCCATACTAAATAGAAAAGCCCAATTACGAGTATCCACATGGACCCAGACCGAAAATTTCAGGCCCATAACTTGAATGACCAAATTTTCTTCTCTCTCATATACTGTCTTGAGGAAAAAGCAAAAACGAAATTCACCCCCTTTGTCTCCTCTGATACTGAAACACAGCGAGGCAGACATCACTGCACCCATCTCTGTAATTTCGAGAAGCCGAGTTTGCAAAATGTTCAGGAATCAATACGACACCGACGTGACGACGTGGTCGCCGGCGGGGCGGCTGTTCCAAGTGGAGTACGCGATGGAGGCGGTGAAGCAGGGCTCCGCGGCGATTGGGCTGAGATCGAAGACCCACGTGGTGCTCGCCAGCGTCAACAAGGCCAGCTCGGAGCTCTCCTCGCACCAGAAGAAGATCTTCAAGGTCGACGACCACATCGGCGTCGCCATCGCCGGCCTCACGGCGGACGGCCGAGTGCTTTCCAGATACATGAGGAATGAGTGCATTAATTATTCCTATACGTACGAGTCGCCGCTCCCCGTCGGCCGCCTTGTTGTTCAGCTGGCCGACAAGGCTCAGGTTTGATTTCGTAGTGTTTAGTTGACTAGTTTTTAATATTATCATTTTCAATGCTAGTTTGATGAAAAATTGAGAGTTAGGGTTCAAGATTGTGGACTCGTAGATTGAACAATTCGTTAAAGAGTGTGAAGAAGAAACCTGATATGGATTTAAAGTAAATTTTTCAAGTGATTTGTTGAAAAAATTAATTGTTTGTATTGAAGTTGGGGAAAATTCTATGCTAGAGAGTTTGGGGGTTAGATTGAGTGATACTAGCATGGGAATTTGTGGAGGGATGTTTCCAAAAACTTTCAACCAAGTGTATTTTAGAATAAGAAAAATGCTTTGGTTTTTTTTTTTTACTATTTATTTATATGCAATAAGGGTTAGTTTTGAAATTGAGATATATATTTTTGGATGCGTGCAGTTTGTGGGCATTTGTGCTTATAAGAGTTTATATTGAAACCGAGAATGGAAAATATTGGCAAGTATACAAAGAACAGTGACTTAAACTTGGTCAGTTTGAAGAGTAATGAATTAGATGAAGTTGAAATATTGATATTCTGTATCAATTTGTCTTATCATTTTGGTGTAAGGAAGCTTGTAAGGATTGCGAGCATATGAGTGATCAATGTGAAGCATGTTTTTTTCTTAGGTGAAAGCTTTCGTTTTATGATATGCTGTTATATGGCTTGTTTATTAGTTGTAGCATTTGTCTACCAGAAGTTAATAATAATGTTTCTAATAAGAAATTTGAAAGGTCTAGTAGAAACATCATTAAGCTATACCTGGATTTCGGACCTAACCTGCGAGGTCTGGCTATATTAAAACTTTTTGTGTTCCTTAATTGATGAAGTCAGGAATACTATTCTGTATCTTGTTGATTTGACCAACAAAGAGATTGCCTTGTAGGGTTGACTACTATATGGCTATAACCTGCATCTAAGTTTCTTTCAAAGTGAACCCAAAAAGAAAGTTCCTTGATCTCATGTAAAGCTTGTCTGACAATTTGACCTAAGCTTTAAAGCATAGTGATTATGGGAAAATGTTCTCAAATGTTTTGGTCTAACTTTATTCGAAACCAAAATGTAAAGCACTGGGTATAGTTCGTACAGAGTTTTTTGAGTTTTGTGGCTTATTGTTTATGATGAGAAGGTTTATTCACAGTTGGCTTAGATGCTCATTCCATGTTCTGCGTGGTATCTCTACATTAGTTGTTGCTTGACCTATTTTGGGGATAACAATAAATCATATATGTAGCAAATACCGGTGTTACAGGTTTATCTATCAAATGTCACTTGAGTCTTATTTCATAGTACTGCGTGCTCTTTTCTGCTTATCCCTGTTTCTAATGTGGACATGTCAACGTTTAATCTGAAGCTTGTTCTGCTGTATTTATGTGGTTTACATTGTGGTTTATGTTTAACTTTTTTGAACTAAGAGTGAATACACAATACAAATCCAGTCTCTCTGTTCGGAATAAACAATCCCGATCAAGAACTACATTGTAGCTCCCAGATTGGTTTTGATTAATTTTTTTTACCTGTCATAGACATGTAACTAATCGGTTTCATTTAGTGAAAGGGTTTATGTAAAGAATGAAGTCTCTTTTAAATACATATTGCAAATTGATATAGTGGAGAAATTTGGTTCAAATCTTCAAATGCATGTGTTTAATTAATCTCTATAGATAAGTTGGCTCTAAATTATTAGTTATCTACTTTGGTGATTTCTCGATGTTCGCCAGGAAAAATTCGTACAATAGCTTCAGTCAGATGAGGCCTGGTTAATTTTCTGGACACAACCAACCATATAAACAGAAAATAGGAATGAACGTGATGTTTTTTTTTTAGAAAGCAATAAATCAATGATTAGATGGAATCGATAATGCTTCACGATGCAACTGTCAACTGTGCAAAAAGTTTTCTGAACTTATTCTATTCTTAATTACGAGTGTTCCCTTCATTTTAATTTGTCTCGGTCCCTCCAAAAAAATACATCACCAATAAATAAACAAAATAAAATAAAATAACGATTCAATTTTCCAGGTCTGCACACAACGGTCCTGGAAGCGGCCATACGGTGTGGGCCTCCTGGTGGGCGGCCTAGACGAGTCCGGGGCCCACCTCTACTACAACTGCCCGAGTGGCAACTATTTCGAATACCAGGCTTTTGCAATCGGGTCGAGGTCCCAGGCTGCCAAGACGTACCTCGAGCGCAAGTTCGAGACTTTTACGGACTCGTCTCGTGATGACCTTATCAAAGGCGCTCTATTCGCGCTGCGCGAGACCTTACAGGGAGAGAAGCTGTCGAGCTCCGTTTGCACGATTGCAGTGCTTGGGAAAGGCGAGGCTTTTCACGTGCTGGATCAGGAGACTGTACAAGGGCTCATTAATGAGTTTGAGGTGGCCGGAGAGGAGCCGGCGGCTGACGATGCTGAGGCTGAGGCCGGTGGTGGAGAGGCGGCAGGTGAGGAGGGAACGGGGGCCGCTGCCCCCATGGATATCTGATGAGTTTTTCTCTTTTGGTTTTTATTGGGATTCAGTTTGTGTTGTTTTCTGATGTTGTTTGACTGAAGGGAATTGATTTTAAGTAATCTGTTGTTGAGGGGGAAGTGGGAATGTGTTCTATCTATCTATCTATCTGTCAGCTGGGATTTGCCTGTGGACTTGGTTATATTTGTGTTTTTCGGATAATGTTGGTAAGGTGTTGATTATGACGATGATGATGATAATCTGTGGGTGTTTAAGATTAATTATGTTGGTTGAATTGGTTTGGGAATTGGGATTTGGTTTGTGGGACGTTGAAGCTCATCAGGCTGAGATGTTCTCTTTGGCTTTGGGGTTTAGTAATTGTTTTCTTTGGTTACAGACAGTGGTTAGGTTAGGTTGGCTTCTGGTTTTATGTTCTCTTGCAATGGTTTTTCTTACACTAAATCATAACACATTTTTTAGTACATCTATAGCTTCGTATGTACACTATAATGGTTTAAAATAAAGATTCACACTGCTAGTCAAAAAGTTGTCATAGCATTCATTAGGAAGCTGGAAATCAAAACAAGACCTTGATGTAGCAAATTTGGATACACTCTTGTTTCCTTTTAAAATGTCGGATTTTAAACGTGAGCGTGCAGCACACAACGACTAAATATTCACAAACATACACACCAAGGAGAAAGAGAGAGAGAGAGAGAAAGAGAAGCACTCCCCCAATATGCAACTTTCAAATAACTGTCCTTATGCTTCCAACCACATGATTAATAGCTGAATCAACAGTCCAAATAATTATAGAAAAACTAAAATTACAATTAGATTGTTAAAGATCTCGAGCAAAGTACTGGTCTGGGACAGGAAGCCCTTTGGTCTGCAGTTGTTTATACATCCACTGCCAGTTGTCGGGAGTCACCTCACCCCCAAGAGAACGTATAACCGAGCCACCACTGCATGAACCCACCTTGCAGCACTCCTCAAGCGAGAGTCCCTTCACAAGTCCATACAGAAACCCGCTTGCAAATAGGTCCCCTGCACCTGTTGCGTCCACTGCTTTTGACTCCCCTATTGCTGGAACACGCGCAACCTATATAAAAATATCCATACCGTAAGCTATAATGTTAAAAAATGAAATGTAACTACTTGGGTCTAAACTAATAACAGAAAAGACCCATTTTATATTTTAAATAAATATAGCATATAATCTATCAAGATTCATTTAACTTAGGGTGCACTTTTTGCAAGACAAAGTAAAGGTGACCGGTTTATGAGCAGTTTTGGAAGATATTTTGTTCGTATTTTAGACTAGATAGACCATATAAGCAATCAAGTATGAAGTGAAACAAGACTATTTATCATGTGCAGTGCTTAAAAATTAATTAACTTATATGCGCGCTTCTTATTTCAAATTTTATCTCGGTGATTATGCTTGCATCCGAAAAAAGAAAAAGGGGAAGATATATCAATACTATAGACCTCTTTTCCGTGTTTTGCGATACATCCCTTTGAGCCTAATGTCACTACAGCCCATTGGCAGTGTTTCCCAAGAAATTCAAGAGCTGACTCCGGATCGGATTTGTCTTCGTCTTCACCGCTGGAGAACAATAACCGATGCACAAATACCAATAGCAGTTGAGAAAACGTTCGACCACAATTAGATCAACTGAATTTCTTTTAGCTCTTTATAATATGAAAAAAAAAAATGTTACAACATAAGTTTAGTCGACTTTACCTCAGTAGCTCGGCAGCCTCATCCTCATTGGCAAAGCAAAGATCTATGCTCCCTGATTCCAGTAACTGTAAGAGTTGCAACTTGAACTTTCTCACCATCTGCCATAAGAAGATTGCTATATTAGGGGCAAATATGTTTCACCAACTACGTGAAATTTGACCTAACTATATAAGAAAGCAAAATTCTCTCTTGAAGCTTCAGATATTTACCCCTCATCATTAAGTTTTTGCTCACCAAGAGTACAAATCTATGAGCAAATGTATCCCTCATTATTTATCTCAATTTGATCCTAAAAAAATTTTACACCTTATTTTGTTTTTTTCGAGAAATACGAGACATCTAAGCTATGCAATGGAGGTGATTGTGTATGTAATAGTATACGACAGTTATAAACCACAGTGGGGATACTTGCAATTTTTATGAAAAATGCCTTTTTTCCATCTTGCTTCTTTTCTTTTAATGTGACTCGAAACCTCGGAGACGGTTTTTATAGTTATCCCATATCCCGTATTTTAATACTCGGACATTTCGAAGTTTTCCAAAGGTAAAATTACCTCAAAACTGGCCAGATCTAGCGAGACAAAGACACCTTCTTGCTTAGCAATTTTAATGGCTGCCTGAATAACTTCTATATTAAATATTGCATACCTCAGCACGAGCCACTGTACAATGACAAGAAGCTATCTTCAATGGAAATCAAAATAATTCTAAATCCGTTCATGAAATAATATGCAACAAACGGCTCATAGCCGTTGAAAAGGATGCCTCACCTTAGAACCTTTCAAATCTGCAGTAGTCAAATCATTTGCCTGGTGAGCAGAGAACAATAAGATTCACATTTACTTGGCTACAAATCATAATATGCCAGAACATAAAATTCAAGTCGAATCACCTGAACTTTTACGGCACTTGAGAGGCATGGCCTCATTGTTCTATTCCCCAATTCATCAACTAAGCACACACACTGTTTCAAAAATTTTCGAAATTGAGTCAAAGACCAGTTAAATTACTATATCAAAAACTGCAAACACTATAACCTGAGCTGGCACGTGCAAGAAAGACCCACCTGTGCTGTATGCCCGTTTTTCAACCTTAATCTCGAAAGATCAACTTTGTGGAAGCTCATGTTATTTATAAACAATCTTCCCTGATCATCATCCCCACAAGCCCCAATTATCCCACAAGTGATTCCAAAACCGGCTGATAGGCCTCGAATTGTGTTAGCTACACTCCCACCTGCTATGGTCTTCAATGGAGACGTGTTATCTGGAGAATCATTGATATGAGCATGAAGCTCACTCAAGATGAACTTCAGCTCATCGGTAGCCACCTATAAACAGCCAAAAGCATAGGCAATACAAAAGCACTCATTAGAGTTGAAACTAGGGACAACTTGTTAATGTACACTTCATTGAAAAGAACAGAGATTGCAGTAATATAGTCTAACAAGAGATTGAAAGATAATTATGAGGCATATGGATCTCAAAGGAATCCATGAAATGTTTGATATGCTTCTAAATATTAAATGCACAACAAACACACAACTCAAATGGAGTAAGGCACTGCAGTACGGCAAAAACGTCTCTTAAAACACAAAACACTAAAAACACAATATTCAGGTAATCACATTGAGAGTACATACTACATACATATAAACACAAGTTTTTTACCGTTGATGAAAAATATTTGACATCAGGTGCCCCATGAGAGGACTCACTCAAAATCTAGCAAACTTGGTAACAAGCTATAATCAGACACAAACAGCATCTTATTTGCAAATTATCTAATCAGACGCCCCAACAAAAAGAAAGATTCCAACTTTATACAATCTGAAGAAGAAGAAACACACACAAAGCAAGAAACAAATAAATTCAACAATAAAATGCATGTGATTATGAGTTTATCCAACAAAATCTTCCCCCAGACTACTAAAACCACTAAGATTCAGCAGAATAAAGATAAACAGATAAAAGAAAAAGGCACCACCAATTAGACAAACAAAAGCGCGCACACAACACACACAGTATGTGAGGAGTGTGTACAGGGAAGGAGCCGCCAGGCTCCCCTGGGATACGGGAGAGGAGTGGCCAATCAACTCTTGCCACGTGGTCCACCAGAGCCGACGGCTGTAGCCCCACTATCACCGGCGCGGCAGCGACAGATGTAACGCCATTTTGTCCGTCGATTTTCCGATGAATTTCAACACCCATTTTCGATATCCGGTGGACTATTGAATCTCAGGTGATAGATTTAAAAGGAATCCACAAAAGGGGATTTACCCTCCTACCGTCGCTCGGCGGTTCCCACTCCTCCCCTCCATTTCTTTGCTTCAGTTTGCATTTATAGGCCACAGGCCACATTCCAACAATTCTTTACTATTAATTTTTTGAGGAAATTGCAATTTTGTTCCTTTATTTTATTTTATTAATTTTTTTATATATAATTTTCAATTTAGGCCCCACAGTCGGTTAATTTTGTTCCTTTATTTTATTTTATTTATTTTTTTATATATAAATTATGAGGAGTAGATTTACAATTTGATACCAATTTTATAATCTCACTAATCATGCGGAACTAAATTTGAAACTTTCTCTTGAAAAATTATTAGTTTCAATAATTATTTCACTTAATTAAATTTGCAGCTTTCCCTTAGAAAATTATTAGTTTCAATAATTATTTCACTTAGTTGTGCTTTAATTTTTGACTCTTATGTTTTAGATAAGTAGTTTAATAAATCCAGAAATTCTATGGCGCTCATACGCGCGCCATAAGTCATGCCACAATATGATGTGGTTTTATGAGGTGGCTTTATCAATTTTATTTATTAATTCCAACATGGCAGTGGTTTTAAACAAGATTTTCCACAACAAAAAGTCACCTCATAAAGCCATAAAATTGATAAAGCCACCTCATAAAGCCACACAACTATTTTATTCTTATGAAATATAGATATAGAATTAGTATTTATAATTAAGTTGTGATATTATCACTTTTTTCAATATTATCTCATTTCAACAATTTTTTTTATTTCTAATATTGTATTAGTATTTATAATTAAGTTGTGATACAATATTTTCTTATTTCAAATTATTTTAAATCAGTTAAAATTATTAATAAAAGTAATTATTTAATTTTTTACATTTGTAATGGTTAATAAAAGTACATAAATGAAATAATATTGACAACTATTGTTATGAAAACTAGACCAAACTGGCCGATCGAACCATGAACCGACCAACTGACTAATTTAGTTCGGTAAAATGAACAGTTGTCAATGATTAATGAATCGGTAAAGAATCGATACCTAACTGATTAAACCAAATTGACCAAAAACCATGTGGTCGGATCGGTCAATTTTTTTCATTTTCTAACAAAAAATAAATTAGTTTAAAAATATATAAATATTTTTTAATACATTAAAATTAAGTATAAATTAAAATATATATATATATATATATATATATATATGAAAAATTATTATATCAGTCTGTCAGACATTTGAATATTTTAAATTGTCTAAAATTTTAGTTAGTGATGATTTTGTATATAAAACTTAATGCTAAAATCATTATATTTATTTAAACATATTACTTAATTAATAGGAGTTCAATCGTTCAACCATTGGGGTTGGAATATTGAACCACTTAACTCGATTCTCTTTTGGGTTCGGGGAAGCCGACGCAGCGGTACTCGGCTAGTGGTGTTAGGCGGGTGGTACGGTGTTGGTATTGGCTAGTGGTGTTAGCCGATTGAGGAGTGTCGACTCTCTCTGGCTGGGGACGGGTCTTTATTGGTGTTTGGTTCCGGTTTTGGTATCGGCTTCAGATAGGCGTTAGGCAGTGTAGGTTGCAGGTACCGGGCCTTCGGATCTCTCTCTGATATCGATCGTACATCTGCTGGTCTGGCTCGATCTTTCTGCCGAGGAAGGGACTTCTAGTTGGTTTTTAGGTGTTTGTTTAGTGTTTTTTCGGTGATTGTGTCTGTGTCTTTGTTTTTTTTGTTTGGGTCGTTGGCCTCCGTGTGCCCGAGTATCAACTTGATTTCCTTTTTGAGGCCAAATACTCGGGTATTACTCTGTTGGGGTCTTTGTGTTATTTTTTTAGTGTTTTAGTAGTGTTCTTGAGTTTTACCTCGTTGGGGTCGGTTCTAGGCGGTCTTTTGGACCTATCCTCCCACTTTTTCAGCTATTGGCTGCGTGTATTCAGCTGTTGGTTGTCTGTATTCAGCTGGTGGCTGCTCTTTGTATTTTGTTAGTTTTTTATAATATCTCTATCGTTCTGGCAAAAAAAAAAAAACCATTACTTGTTCGTCTCAATGGTCAGACTAGTTCTGAGAACCTAGTTTGGTATGAGATATAAATTACTTATCAAAAGTATTATCGATTATTTTTGCATTATATTATCGTAAGAAATGTTATTTATATTTTTATTGTATTAATATTTAAAAATAATTACTACCAATACTTTCTATATGTCAAACTATTTGTGATTTATTAATCACCCAAAAATAATTACTTTTTAAAATTCAAGAATTATTTTAGCACTTTGTGATTAATTATTTATTATTGACCCTATTTGAATAGCAAATCTACTAAATACGAATAATTGCCAACATTATTACTAACTTAAATAAAAACAAAACTAACATTGAGAAATAGATTGTATATAACTAATTATAAGTGAACTAAATGATTTAAAATAAAAAAAAAAAAAAAAAAAACGTGAAATTGGTTCCCAATATTTCAAACACTATTCTTGAAGAAAAAAACCGTCTAAGACCAAATTTTCCCAATTTGGGACTTAGGGAAGTATTCGTTTGGAATTTTGAGTGAGACTTTTTAAAATTTGAGACTCTTTAAGATTTTTCAAATTTTGAAAGAATACCGAGATTTCTAAAATTTGAGTGACATTTCCACTTATGTCAAGAGATATGTCTTTTACTAGATTGACATATTTATTGTCACGCAGTGCCACCTAAAAGTACCCCCATCCCGCCTTTGATGTTTTCCACTTATAAATGGAGTCCAACTCCTCCACGGTCAGAGCCAGCCATCCCTTTTTTTTAAGCAAGACGATCAAGGAGCATAGATGATACACCGCATTGGGATGAACTTGACTGACGTTGATCCCTCATTCTCTTAGATAATATGAGAACACCTGGGGAAGAGAAAATCATAGCCCTGTCACCAAAGATTCTCGATGGACATCAACACTCCCCCACGAAGGGCAATAGGGCTGCTCATTCTCGTATGGTGCGAATATTTTAACCGATCCAAAGATATCACACTTCTCCCTCAACTTTAATATGTCATAATCTCCCAGTGTACTCGCGAACCTACAAATTTCCATCTTGCATGGGCCTGGCGGTTCCTCGGTCGGTAGTCGCTGCAGTGAGCTTCAAACGTCTGACCCTGGCTTTCGCAATCTCCTGTCGATGCCTCCTTCACTTCATGGTCGCTAGCATCCAACATGGTTGGCGAAAGGACTTAAATTTTTTTTTTATCCAATTTCGAATAGGAAAAGAAACAGTGTTAGCAAAAAGGAACTCGGGAATTTTAAATTTTTAAAATGAAGTACGAACAACTCTAAGCACTGGGGAATTCACTATTTATTGTGCTTGAGCGAACTCTTGAGCGAAACTCAAGAAACATGTCTGGATCTGAATAAAAACACCTCAACTTCGTTGAGATATCATCTTTCATTTAATGCTTTTGTAAGAATCCGGGAAAACGGGTGTTGTCCCATGCACGTTAACCGCACCATAACAGGGTGAGCTTACTAGGCTTATAAAACCAATTGGTAGTAGGAGGAGTAACCCACTAGGCTTATAAATTAAACATGTTTTTCCTGTATAAACGATGTGGAACAACTCACAAGTGATATTCTAATATGCCCCTTCACTTGTGAGTCCTTCATACAAAGCCCAAGCCCACGGAGCAGGCCAGGTAACGAGTATGTCATGGCAGGTCCTACGTAAGCCCGCTCTGATACCATAAAAAAATCGGGGGTGACGGGATGCGGTCACGTGAAGCGCCCCATAAGAGGGTGATCTAGATGCACCTTAGTGAAGTTTCATCCTACAACCAATTGGTAGTAGGAGGAATAACCCACTATGCTTATAAGTTATGTCTATTTTCCCTGTATAAACGATATGGGACAACTCACAAGTGATATTCTAATAGCTTCAAATGAAAAGACGTCTTATTTGTCCCATCTCCTGTGTTAAGAAACATAAAAACAAATCTGAGAAAATGATAAAACCAATAAAGATGAACATGCTCAAAGTGTTTTCTCACATTTTCATCAAACTGTGTAAGTTCTCTTTTCTGTGTACATATCCCTAGGGTTCCAGAATGGTAAGTTATATATATAAGATAATATGATCAAGATCCTATTGTCCACATTCCATCTACACTATTATATCATTATGCTTTCTTCATGGAGATGTGGCATTGACCATACATTGCTCTTTTGTAATGACATGGCTGAGGGTTGTTGTCTGTTTGTGAAGTGTGGCTTGTTTGTGAGTTTTGGATGTTTGCATGGAGTCCATATATGCTATAATCCCCCCTCAAGCCAAAAGAGGTGACATGTAAGACTTGTAGTAGAGTTCTGAACCGAGAGAAGGCTTGAAGAGATAAGGGCTTGATGAAAATGTCACCAACCTGGTCAACAGAGGGAACATGATGGACTTTGAGATTACCTTTTGCTACCTGATCTCGCACAAAGTGAATATCAATCTCGATGTGTTTTGTTCGAGCATGGAGAACAGGGTTGGAGGATAAAGAGATTATGCTTAGGTTGCCAACCGACACAGTTGGAACTTGAGTGCAAGACACTGATAATTCTTTCAACAGAGATGTGATCCAAATAAGTTTTGAAGAGGCTTGAGCAAGACTTCTATATTCGGCCTCGGTGCTTGATCTGGATATTGATGATTGTTTCCTAGAACCCCAGGAGATAGGATTTTTTGCCAAAATATACACAAATTCCAGAGGTGGACCTTCTATCATCCAAATCATTAGCTCAGTCAGAGTCTGAGAATCCTGTGAGATGTAAGCTTGTGTTTATAGTGTAATGCAGGCCATAGGATATAGTGCCTGCAAGATATCTGAGGATTCTTTTCACTGCTTTCCAGTGAGTGTCCGTTGGGCATTGCATGAATTGGCAGACTTTGTTGACACTATATGAGATGTCTGCCCTTGTGATACAAGCATACTGAAGGGATTCTACTACACTTCTATAGAGAGTGGGGTCTGCCATTGGACTTCCTTGATTTTTTGTAAGAGAAGGAGAAGATACCATTGGAGTTGGTTGTGTAATTGCATCAGTCATCTTGGTTTTGAGAA